TATATATATATATATAATGAAATAGATATCAAAATAGACTTCTGACTTTGTAGGGTGCATTTCAGCCTCATACTATATCAAAGGTCTAATTTGTTCCACGACTCTTAAAAAAGAGCCAAAGTAGTTAAAATTGATGGATATTGAAGTTAAAAGCTAATGGTTCTTTTTAAAAAGTGAAGATATTTTTGGAAATTAGATTTTAAAATTTTTGCAAAACCTAATTTTTCAGTTCACGTTATTCGGGATGTAATTTTTTGATAACATTCTCAATATTTCTTATTTTATTTTTAAATACTTTGTGATGAAATTAATACATATTATATTTATAAATGCTATAAGTTATTGTCCGTCATTTATTACAAAATATCCCATACTTGAAAAAATATTTATCTTTATTAGTAAACATTTCAATATGTAAATTTCTAAAATACCCTGATTTTTAACACCATTCTTTAACTTTAATTTTTGTCATTTTTAAAGACGGAATTATTTGGGCTCATATTTTTAAGATTTAAAGGACTAAATAAGTCTTTTTATACAATTTACGACTAAAATGGCCCCCCTGTATGTTTTCAGGGGACTATTCTGTCTATTTTCGTTCTCTCTCTGTCCCTACTTCATGCTGCTCTTTGCTGTGCGTTACATGCTGTTGAATGGGTCACAATGACTGCTTTCATTTTTTGGCGAGGCTGATGAAGATGAGTGATAAATGCCAAGCAACTATAAGTAAATTAAACTAATCATAGGTAGCTTATGAGTTTACCAACCCGAACAGCAGTAATCTTACAATTCTTGTTGAATGCAATTAATACTAAACATTTCATGGTGCTATTAGTAAATCAGGCTGTTTTGGTTTCTGCGATATTTAACTATCTCAAAATAAAATGAGACGCAGTTTCTGATGCTTGAAGAAACAAATTGTGAGGATTCACATGTCTTACCATGTCCATATATGTATATAGGTTTAATTTTTTCTTGTTTGTACATTTTATTTTTCAATGAGATTCTTCTTATTACCAAGCCTTACGTACTTTGTTGAGAGCAGGATGTTGAAATTCCTGAGGCTGTTCTTCCAGAGCCATTCAATAAAAAAAACGATATCAAACAGTTGGACTCTCTGCCAGATAAATCATTCAGTGAATTACCTCAGCAAGTATCATTGGAACTTGATTCCTTCTCAAATGTCTCTCATTTCTCTTCATCATTTCGTAAGCATTTTTGTCAGAAGGTAATTGTCCCAGAAGCTGAACGAACTAAAATTCTTGCTGATGATGATGTAGTTAAGTCTAGCAAGAACTTTGATTTAACAGATGGGAAAGATAGTAAAACCTCTATGCCTGCCATTGTATCTCATTCTCAAGCTATTCATATACGAAGTTTTGATAAGTTTTTGGATAGGACGCCTGTAAGAGGTGCTTCAACTGTCCATGACAATATTGATACGCCAAATACTTGTATCGCTCCCCAGTCATGTCAGAATACCCCAGCGAATGTTGATCAGATTGCAGACGATGCAATTTCAGAAACACCTGCTATGCAAACTCCCAAAAGACCCATGTCATCACCCATTGAAATCTTGGTCAGTTCAACTGAAAAATCAGTTAGTGAACCCAAGTCAACCCCTTCAGTTCGTCGCACTTTAATATATTCTCCGCACAAGATGGATAAGAGCATTTCAAAGCTTGATTTTGACACCAAAGATCTGACTCAAGTCCATGAGCATTCTTCCAATGACTCCATGTCTGGTAAAAGATGCATCTTTGAACAAGAAACAAATCTGGTAATTTTCTTTATCCACATTTGTTACCCTTAAAATGAATGTTTTGAAATCAAATTCATGTTGTTTATGCATTTAGAAAAAAAGTTAATGAAGCCTTGCATCTTTAAGCTCTTTCTATTGAAATACGTTGAGTATTTTTTTTGACATGTTGTGTCACATTGTATCCAAATTCAAGTAGATTCGAGATCCTAGTTGATATCATCATCATCTTTAAACCTGTCACAACTACTTTGGGTTGGCTATTCTATTTAACATGTCATGCAAGGTTAAGTGTTTATTTTCGAAGAACTTATGGTATATGCATTTTTCCATAAAATTTTCAGCCCTATTTCATTTCTCTCATAATTTTTACTGTTCTGGATATATTTTACTTATATTCCTTAGTAGATAATGTTTTATCTGTAATTTGTCACATACCAGCTCGGAAGCTTGGAGTTACTAAGACGGGGATAAATGGTTGGGGAGTAGGATCATACAATTCTAACAATTAAGACAATAAAATATTTATCTTCCAAATCATTAAGAGCCACTAAGTATTTGATTCATATCCAATTCACATTTATTAATCAAATTTTATACAAGAACTTTAATAGAATACTTTAAACAAGCTATAATTGTTTATCGGTGCATATTCTTTTTAGCTTTTCTTCTTCTATACTCTAACTCTCTTCTGTCATGTAAAAATAAAATTAAACAACATATTAATTTGTATAATAATTTAGCGAACAATTACAGTTTTTATAATAATTTAGCGAACAATTACAGTTTTATTGTATCTTAATTTTTATGCTTATGCTTTAATATTCATGTAGATCAAGTGACTAAATAATAACATTTCTTTTATTAAATTTTTTTTAAAACATTTACATTTACATTTCATTTAAGAAATTATCTCAAGAGCACCCTCAAAAAATGTATCATTTATGCTACATCCACTTCAATCTTTTTCCAAGCCTTTTTCATACGTGAGTGGGTATAATATCTTTTCCAGCTAACATCATAAGTGTTTTTTAGTTAACTTATACATTTAATTCAGTTGATTAACTTTACATTTCCTTCAATCATTTGAGTTGTACTTGAATTTTCAATGTCGATTCAAAATGTGATATCCTTTTAAATATACGTTCAATCAATTTATTAATGACTATCATGATTCAAAATTTTTAAAATATGACATAATTAAATTCATAAAAATCAATTAATGCGTTTGAAATTAAAAGAACTCAAATTACTATAGAGTAGGATTATAAGTGTCCCAACTCTACCTTTATGGGTTATTTGGCTTGCTGAAAAAGAATTGCAGTATAAAATGAAGGCAATGTTAAAGTAACGTGTGTATTTGAAATATTTTAGAGTTGTTTGGCTTAATGTAAAATAGACTTCGCTTTTTGATTTGATTTAAAAAATAATATTATAAAATAAATTCATTAAGTTCGTTGACGGTGAGCAGACAACAATTGCTAGCGTGCAGCTACAGGTCGCCGATCGGTGGCAACGGGGCGACAGGCCGGTACGGGGTCGGGCGTTGACAATAACTGGCAAGAGGCGGTGACAATTGGCAAGTGGCGGGTGACGATGACAACTGACAAGTAGCAGGCAACGAGGACAACTGGCAAGTGGCAAGTGGCAAATGGCGACGACAAATTGGAGGCATCATCACTTCACACAAATCATTGTATTTGAATTTACCCTAATCCAACGAATTTTAAATACATTGAAAATCAACTAGAAGGTGAGTTCCAAATACATTAAAAATTTATATTTTATTTATTTTTCTACTTACCAAATGCTTGAATTTGTAAAATCATAGCAAATGGAATGCAATGAACTCCTTTTGTTGTTAACTAAACAACTTTTACATGATTTATGTTGTCGCTTAATCTTTACGCTTTTCTTCCTCTAATTTAGTATATATTAACATAAATCATTTTCTCTAAGTATAAAGCATACAACATAATATCATACTAAATTCTTAGGTAAATGACTATTTAATTTGCTATTTTTGAATTTCTGTAAATAGTCTAATTTTAGAACTTAATCACTTTTAATTAGGTTCATAATTTAATGACATAATCTTCATTTAAATTTCATTAAATTTTTATTAAACTATAACATTTCTTTTTTAATTTATAGCTCTCCTGATAAAAGTAAAACAATGTATTTCTCTTGATTAGTTCCCTAACATTATATCTCAAACCATGATATTTTCCTCCAACCTTTGCTGCGAAATTCTAAAATATTTTGACTCTTGAATCTATTAAAAATTATATCAGCATTCTTATAATAAATTTAAAACTTCAATCAAACTTTCACTTAGGATTTGATAATTATCATTAATTTGGAATAAACAGGAAGAAAAGAAGCCTTAGGTTTGGTGTCATAAATGTCAAAGAAATTTAGAATTACTCATCTGTACCACCAAACCCATTGCGGCTTGTGCTTAATTTTCTCTTCTATCAATCTCCTAGTTTGGTTTGATGTCATCTTACCTTCGTTGCTCTACACGTTCACAATCATTCACTACACTCTGCGCACACCAGTTGCTCGCTCTTTTTCTACACCTGCATTGTTCCGCACACATCGCTATGCCCTCACAACGACATCTTCTTCCTTGCACATGGCACTTGTATGTGAAGAACTTGCACACCTCTCACATGCGACTCAACCTCATCACACTCTACAGAGATCTCATCGTCTCTCGTGCATGTCACCCACACTTGCTATTGCTTCGTCTCTCGCACACATGCTTATCCCTGCTTTGCTAGGATGAATCTCGTGTAAAAGCTAAACACAGTCTTTCACTTGATTAGCTTCTGTTTTCACTTTTGCTACAAAGTTTTGAAATATTTCTACTCTTGAATACATTAAAAGTTATATATGCATCCTTAAATTTCATTTTAAAATTTCAATAAAAAATTCATTTATAATTTGGTAATCGTCGTTAATTTGGAAAAAAATAGGAAGCAAGTAAGCCTTAGATTTGGTAACATTAAATATCAAAGAAATTTATATTATTGATCTCAAATTGCATCACCAAACCAATCGATGGCTTGTGTTATATTATTCATCTCAAATTATTGGATGGCTTATTTCCAGACTTCACATGATGTGCAATCCTTCACTTATGATGAAGGATGATTCAGGGTTATGTTCATATCATTTTTACGTATAAGAAAATTGAGGATTTTGTTGGCTATAAGTCATCAAATAATTCCATCACTTGTTTTCTTTAAATAAAAATAGGCATTGCTATAATTAAAATCTAGCTCATAATGTAATGATTGAAATTTAGAATGATTAATTAATAAAATTTGATCTTAATTTATATTATTTGAATATTCATTGTGTTAGTTTTTTATCAAAGAAGGCGCGCTAAATTGTGTATTGATGTGTAGAAAATGTGATGTGATATTTCTTATGTTTTCTCTATAATTTGTCATGTTTATGATTTTTTGGTGTATTCTCGTTTGTTTATGCAACATACAGGTTGAAGTTAGCAAGGGGGAGCATAAGGAGTTAAATCATTCCAAGTCCTTGCACGGTGACGTGACGCCTAAGCTTGGCGACAAGGCACCTGAACCGACTTCAAAGTTTGCCAAATATAGAGTAGATGGAAATGTGGCGCCATTGTTTAAACCCTCCTGCACACAATTTAAGCGCCTAGGCGCCCAGTTTAAGTGCTTATGCGTCTGATGATGAAGACCCCATTCGTGCCAAAATCCAGAATAATATAGAAACCTAGTGCCATGTCCCGACCCGACCCGGGCCTTGGAATTAACCAAGACCGGAACGGACGGTCAGACGGTGGAAATCAATTCTCTGCTATTCTATTTCTATCACTAACAATTTAACATTCAAATAATTCATAAAAGAGCCACAAAATAATAATTTAATAAACAATTAGAAATTCGTACTTTTCTAGTTGTTGTGTTCAACTTCTATACACATTTGTTCATCTTTTATTCATCTTATTCAAAATCTTAAAATCTAAAAAAAATATTGAAGTAACATAATGAGTTATCTAAAAATAACCCGGACGCAATCACATCTCTAAACTATAACTCAATGAAAAGAAATCAATATGCATGTTGGTCTTTTATATTTCTATAATAAATCTTATAATATGCTGATCTTTCATATTTTTGTAAGAAATCAGATAATATGGTATTGCATGTATCAATGACTTTTACTCAATAAAAAATGTTCTAAACTTTTATATATATTTAGTTAATTTTATTTTTAATTTATACTCTTTACATACACATTTTTCTGCTTGAGGATCATCGTCAACAAAACCTAACACACTCCTGACCAATATTATCTTATCAGCACAATGGTTAACGATCTAAACATCATAATTACCTGTGGTGGAAATGTCCCCACTAGCCCTTGGCTAATATTCTCCATTTGGCACAATAGTTGTAAGTTTCATTGACATCTTTTTTCATCATATGGAGATATTTGGGCTTGCTTGATCTCAAACGATCAAGCTATAAGTCTCATTCATCTCATTTTAATATAATCTCTCAAAAATTGGGAAGTTATTATGGCTTTCTGATCTTATACAATCAAGTTGTATGTTCCATCTTTCATAGCTTTCACATCTTTAACATTCTTTTGATACCTTCTATCGCATTAAGATTCTTAATCCCACAAGATTGAGCTATGAATGCTATCTTTTCTATGTTTGTGTATCTCCTTTATCATGTTGAAGAGATTTTTGGATTTCTTGGTCAAATGTAATCAAGCTGTAAGTCTTGCCTTACATTCTTTCCGTTCTACTCTATCACATTGAGGAGATTTTTGGGTTTCTTGATCACACATGATCAAGTTATAAGCCTTACCCCAAACATTGCCATATTAAGCTATAAGTCACATTTTCGGCGTCATCTTTGCCGCATAGAAAAGGTGCTCTTCTTCTTACCCCATGGTCTTAGAACCCAAGTAGTTGTGTTAGCCTTAGCAAGTACTATCATGCAGCACCACGAGCTCAATATGGATTTTTCCTTCATATAGTACTGGAGTTTAAATTCTGTCCATTTGCCCAAAACTTTGTCTCCGCTCATGGTTTGCAAGGACCCGTAAGTGACTAATGATTGTTAAAATTTCTTTGTAGATTGTCACATGAGTAAGTAGAGTGTGGGCAGTGACTGTAAGAACCGAAATTTCTTCTTACCTTTTCTCTTCTTTCCTTCTTTGCTTGTTGCTTTACTAAATTCCTAAATTGCATCCTTTCCTTTTTCTTCTCCCGCTCGCACTTGTCGCCTTCATTTTCTTTGCTTTTTTACCGCCTCCCATGACTTTTTAGAGAAAGGCTAGCGTCGGCTAAGCCATCGAACAACCCTTGCCTCTCCCTCACCTACATCCATCAATCTCCCTCTTCCTCTCGACTTCCTCTTTATACTCTCCCGATTTCGTGCGAAACCATCAGCTTCGTGACAAAACCCTCGTGATACTACTGCAGTTGGAGCTAACATAGAAGGTAGCGACGGGATCACTGTATACAGAAACTCTAAACTCCCATCTTCCTCCTATCATTCGCTCATACCTGAAACCGTCGAGGAAGGTAACCCTCGCCTTCCTCTCGCGTACTTCAACTTCTCTAAATTCCGCGAACCCATCTTCCACGGGTTCACTAAATCCGAAGTTAAGGCAAACCGAAAGGAAAACGAGATCTATGAAGCTTGGGTTTTTCTTACAATTTATTAAATCTTCAGTGCATGTAAATTTCCCCACAATTAATTCATAAATTGTTTTATTTTTTTTTATGGAAATTAAAACCGGAAGGAAATCGTCGGGTGTTCAGGTATGGAGTTTAGTCCCACTAAGTGTACCTTGCTATTTAGCTACAGAGTCAATGATCACTTCAAACAGCGAGTGCATCATATTACTGAATTCTCTACCACTTCCCTTCCCTTCAATTATCTTAGGGTCCCTCTCATCAAAGGGTGACTTAAGCAAGTTCAATTTGATAAGGTGATTACAAAGAATGATGCCCAACTCAATTGCTGAACTACCTCTTTCCTCTCCAATGGGGGAAAGATCACTCTCCTCAACAACATTCTAACCACTTTTCCATAATAGATTTTGCAAATGTCTGGCATGAAGAAAAGCACTCAGCTTCATTTTGAGAGATGCTTCTACATGTTTTTATGGTCTGGGAAAAGGAAGCAGTTGCATTGGGCTAGCTGGCAGAAAGTGGCTAGGCCAACTGTTGCTTGAGGTTTGGGCTTCAAAGGGCTTCCTCAGCTACAACACATTAACCTCTGCAAACTATGGATTAAATTCAGGCAACATGACTCTCTTTGGGTAAAATTCCTTCTGGGTAAGTACTGTAAAGGGCTTCACCCCAATCAGGTTAACAGAAAAACTGGTGACTCCAAACTGTGGGTCAATCTGCTCAAGGTTAGAAAGCAAGCTAAATCCCAGTTCATTTGGGATTTGGGGCAAGGCAATATTAATTTATGGCTGGATAATTGGTGTCTTGAGGACATGCTGCAGCCTCTTCACTAGAATTTCAATTTTGATCTAAAGGTGGCTGACTGCTCGGAGGAGTACAATTGGTTGCTGAACACCATGCTAACACAACCATCTGTTGTAGCCATTACCAAGTTGTCTATTGACAACACTAAGAAGATCTCTATTGCCATTTCTAAGGGCACTGGTCAAAGCATTACTCAA